ATATTTTTCACAATTATAAAATATATGTTTTATAAAAACGTATTTTTTAAACGAAAAATAAAAGAGGTTTTTTTAATACATCTAATATAAATAAATGTATTGCTCAGGCATCTGTAGAGGCTATGGTTATCTTATGTTATGGTATGGCTTCTTTCATTTTTAATAAACATAACATATACAGGGTCGTCCGAACTGTATTCCGGAAACTTTGGCAGCATATTTTCCAGATAAAAATAAGTAAAAAAGTTCATATAAATTTATGTCCTAAAGTGATTAGTTTCGGAGATACAGGGTGTAGAACTTTCATTTTTAATTCGATTTTATCCAAATCATTTCTGAAGTAACGGCAATAATTGGATGAATATTGATGTCTGGGAGTTTTTTGACATGAGAAATTTGATTTTGATGTCAATATGACTCCTATAATACTGCCACCTACGTCTTTTTAACAGTAGGTACACTTGAATAACTTTTCGTCCGTACCTGTATAACAGGTACGTTAACCAATTTTATAACCTGACACCAATTTTCATCCAATTATTGACGTTACTTTAGAAATGATTTGGATAAAACCGAAATAAAAATGGAAGTTCTACACCCTGTATCTCCGAAACTAAGCATTTTAGGGCATACATTTATACGAACTTTTTTATTTATTTTTATCTGCACAATATGCTGCCGAAGTTTCCGGAATACAGTTCGGACCACCCTGTATAAACATAACGTAAATACACATAACATAAATAAATATAACACCTAAGTAAAAAATTAAAAATCAAATAAAAAATAATCGTATACAGAAAGTATGAGGCTTTTTGGTTTTACCTCATTATTGTTATCAGGTAGTAATCAGATGATTTAAATTTTTTTTTTGTTCTTTGTGTTTTTTGCTTTCGACGTCCCCGGCCCCGGCGGGAAGAGATATACCTACTTCCCAAAACGTTAAGCATTTTTGTCCGTTAGGCAAATTTTTTTATTAGTAAATAGTCTACGTTGGATTGAAAACTTTCCAACTATTTTATTTTGTCTCTAACTATTTTAGTTTGTAGATTTTCTTATAATACAAGTGGCGATATACAATACTCATAGAACTTTTGAAGAGATGAATCTGCCACAGAGCATATACATTTTTTATATGTTTTATAATTCATCAATTAAAATTATGGGTTTTCCAAATTCATCACTAAACCTACTTTTCATAATTTACTAGTAATTAGTTTCAGAAATAACGGCAAGAATTACTATAAAATAGAACTCCTATTGTCCAATTTTTCAGATAATTAAGTCACATAAAATATATTCCAAATACACAAATTATTTCATTGAATATTAAATAATATTAGGAACGACATTAAAAAAGTAATTTTTAAAATAGTTCCTCTGAAAAGTTTATTTTGTTAAAATTATCATCTAATCTTCTTGACAAAATGGTGGATGAATATAACTTAAATATAAAGAAAATATCGACAGCAAATATGGGCAAAGCCTATATTAATTCCACATGCATAAATATAGTTCGTATATTATGTGCCTCAAGGTAAAATTATTATTCTTAACAATATCATAATTGTTTTAAAAGCTAAAAAAAAGTTTTATTAAAGCTATTGAGATTAACCAAATTCCTATAATTTTTTTGTGACTGGTCTTTCTGAAGTAAGTGGGTGGTTAAATAAGTTAGGTAAGTAGGTGGGTTTTTCTAATAATTGTTATATCTCACGTAATGTTATCTAGTACCTAACAACAAATAAGTAATTAATTCATATAAAAAATAAAATACCAATAAAGTAATTCGAAAGAAAATATGACAAAAGTACCTACTTAAAATTTTTAATTTGAACATTTAATTTGATTTTATACAGTGTCTTCTTAAATTGCTAATGCTACATAAATATATAGTATTCTTCAGCATATTATGTTATTTAGGTGATATATATAAAATAATTATCAAAATTTAAAACCATTAATATATTGTTTGATAAAGTATAATAAAAAAAACTTAATAAGTTCTATGCAGATATCGAAAAAAACCTTTAAGAGAAAGTAACTTTCTCTGTAAAGAAAGAGTTACTAAGAATATTTGGTACGCGATATCTATATACAATAATTTTAAGAATTTTTGTATTTTTAATTTTATATAAATTAAATCTAGTTGTCATGATAAAATGGCGAAGTAAAATAAATATTTTGAAAATTTTCCTTATTGAGGCATTTTCCACTCCTTTATCTTTAAATCTATCGGATACAAATATAGAAAAAAAACCTTTAAGAGAAAGTAACTTTCTCTGTATAGAAAGAGTAACTAAGAGAATGAAACCTAAATGATATTACCATAGAAAGGCCTTTTGATTTTTAGGAAAAAATTGAACCATATTTTCATATTTTTTTTATTTATTATATCGAAATCTATTTTATGTTCTACACCATATCTATATTTAATAATTTTAACAATTTTTGAATTTATAATAATTTTTAAAAAATTAAATTTGGTTGTCATGACAAAATGGTGAAGCAATTTTTTATATTTTGAAAATTCCTATTGAGACATCTTCCACTCCTTTATCTTTAAATATTAAATAATATAGTAAATAAAGACGATCACAGCCATAGATAATTTGACATAAACATATTCGATATGGACAATAATGAAAAAGCAAAAAAGATACCCCAATTTTTAGAAAAATGCCTCGAAAAATGCATTCTTCATAAAACATTTTTGCTTGTTGTAAAATGGTTAATCCCCTATGTATACTTTCCCAGATTTCGATATAATTTGAGATTGATATAATTTTTTAATAATAAATAATTAAAAAAAATGTGAAAGTATGGTTCAATTTCTATATAAAAACGTCAAGTATCTAAAAGTCCTAAAAATCAAAAGGCTATGGTAAAATTATTTAGGTTTCATTCTTTGATAGATGGTTAGTATTCATTTTGATTAATGCTATTGCTACTTTTTGTTATTTTAGTTTAAGAAGCACAAATTTTATAGTCACGTTTTTAATAATTATCAAACCAAATAAAGTTTGTGCTTCTTTAATATTTTAATGCTTTTTCCAAAAATGTCAATAATAAAAAAGTGTTTCCTCTTGTAAAAACAATCCTGGGACATACTACATACTGTATTGCCCAAAATTGTTCAAAATTGGCACGTGTTTTCAGCATACCAAAACTTTTAAAAAACTCTTTACGACTTATTAATAATGATATTAACGCTGTAAAGTCAATAGGGGAGCCAATATTTGGACATTTCAAAATTTGCATGGGATTTGGGATTTCCTATGTTTCCAACACCGAGCACCACCCGGTAGATATAGATACTATTGGTTTAAACTTTTAAACTAAAAAATGAGAAATTTAATTTACTATTTAGTTATCTATTAGCGTAGACTAATACTGTACCAAAAATATATTAAAAAATGTCTTTTAAGGAAGAAGAGGTTTGCAAAGTGTTCTATTGTCATTCTGTATTATATTGAAATACTGAGTACCCAGTAAGTTAGTACACTTATTTTTTTTTATTTTATTTCTGAACTATATCAGGTCATGGCAATAATCTATATAAATCTATCAACGTTCTGACTTTTTTAAATACCGGGTGCGTCTCAAAAGTGGCTTACCCTTATAACTTTTTTATTTTTTTAGTTAAATAATGAGATTTGGTATGTTAGTATATGATTTAAATTAGGATTGATTGAGGTATTCAATTGATTTCGGTTACTTCCTGTTTCACCGGAAATGACTACAAGTTGTAATATTTAAATGGCACCCTCGGTATTTTTTTACTATTCTCGATAAAAATAACACTCTGAATAGAATGACATATCATATGTCAACTTTTGACATTTTCGCATATGGTTTATTTAAAATTATAACATGTGGTTCATAACGAAAATTTGACTCGAAATACTTTTAACTTAAATACTTTGCCATTTAAAAATCAAAAGTTGTAGTTATTTCCGGTGAAAAGGGAAGTGACCAAAGACAATTGAATACGTCAATCAATCCTAATTTATGTCATATACTAACATACCAAATCTCGTTTTTTTTAAGTTAGGGTGGTGAGCCAGTTTTGAGACGCACCCATTATACTCGATAAATAACAACTATTAAACAAATAAAATTTCTAAATTGAATGAGAGATTTTCTTCTATGAAAAACTTTTTTGTTATTAACACTTATTTATATTTAAACTTTGTAAGCATAAATAACATTTTTATTTTTTCATAATTTTTCCCCTCATAATATTAAAGAAAATCATATTTTGACCCAAGAATCACAATTATGAGTTTTTTTTTCGAGAAAAAAAATAAAATTTGGTATTTTTTGAAATTTTTAGTTAAAAAAAATAATTTGTTGTTAAAATAGCAACATTTAACAAATTTAATCTACTACCTGATTAAATTTACAATTAAGAAAATCCAGAAAAATCCACTGGTATTAAACATTTTAGCAAAAATATTTTTTTTGTAAATTTTCAAAGTGAAATATCTCGGATATTTTTGATTTATTTGAAAAACGGTAGAGAAAATATGTTTCTTTTGTCTACCAGGCCTAAAAATATTTGCACTTATTTAAGACTCACCCTGTATAATTTGTGAAAACTTTTATAATGAATTATAATATGAACTGATATTTTACATATTCTCTTGGTACTTAAAATAATCAGTGATATTAGTTTTTGTTAGTTTACATTTTTTTAATATACCATAGGTACTAATGTAAATTTTCTGTTAAAAATTAAAAAGTAATATTATTAATTGATTAATTGAAAAGATAGTCGCGCGTTAGGTAATGTAGTATCTATTATTATTTGAACTGACAAAGATATTCTTACTTTTATGGCAAGAGTTCATAATATAACACCCAAGTTTTAAACCTATATTAAAACTAATAACACGTTATCTTTTTACTTCATACTAAAAAGTCTTCGCTTTGTCACTGCACTAATCCTAGATTCGAAAAATTCACTACACTACGTTAAAATAGACAAAATTACCTACCACAACCATATTGGCCAACACTTTAAACTGATACTTTTTATCAATTTGGTTTTTATATTTCGACAAAGCTAATAAATAATGTATTAGTTTTTGTTTAGCGGAACTTTTAGAAACATTAGTTTATAATCACATACATGGAAATATCCGAAACCATTTTTAACTAGGGTCAAGTGTGATCAGAATAAAAGTTCAGATATATTGCGTGTGAGTAACATAAACAGGGTTGTTCACCACATACGACACGGAGTATTGTAGCTAAACGATTAAATTTTTACAAATTGTAAGTTTTGGGTTCGTTGAAGCACTATTAGAGCTACAATTTAAAAATATTTTTACAAGATACAGAGTGTCCCAAATAAATAAAAAATATCAAAGTTTTATTTTTTTAAATGGAACACCCTGTATATAATAGCATTTTTAGTTTCTACGATTAAAATAAATGTAAATTTGATAAAGGTTTATTACACTTAAACCTTACCGTTTTTGAAATATTTTCAATTTTGTGAAATTGCAGTATAAATTTTAAGGCTTCATTTCTCCGAGGGTATCAAAGTTTTTAATACTAAATATTTACTGAAGTTTTTTTATTGATTAGTTATTGTGTTGCAATAATAAAAATTATAGTACCTTATACAGAGTGTCTAAAAAATTATTTTAAATAATTACTAGTTTTAAACGACAATAACTTGTTTAATTTAAATGGAACACCCTGTATATTTTACGAGAATCAGATGCACAATTTAATTGTCTATTAAATTGTATTATACCACTTTTTACCTATCCCTTCAAGTTTTCGTAGAAAATGCATTTTCTTATAATTTAGACCTCATTTATCAATATACCCATGGAATATTGACATTTTAGATTGTTTTTAAAACAACAAATGTACAAAATGTACAGGCTAGTAATATTATCGTTTTTAGTAAAACGATAATATTACTAGCCAATTTGTATGCAAAAAGAAAACTATTTAAATCTTTATAAAAGAGTATACCATTAATTAAATATACCACCAGTATTTCCGACCAAATACTAATTAATTACATACTTAATTGTGTTCGTTAATAAATTATTCTAAATAAATGTGGATTTAATCAAATCAGAAATTAATATAATAATAAGTTATGAAAATGAACATTCCTGTTGTTATAAATTAGCATTTGGCAAATTTTTTTTAAGGTGTTGGTTTTTTACCACACAGTCTAATACACATACATAATTCAGTTTTTTAGTATTTGGAGCAATTATTATTAATCAACGCAAACAGTCAATTAATGTAGTTTGAATACTCGAATCATATTAATTGGTCTTCTTTAACAAATATTTAAACCGTTTTTTTATTTTTTAATTATATAAACGAACTATATCGACAATATTAGTATCTGTACTCTTTAAAAATTTGGTACATCTTTAAAAATAATCTAAAATGTCAGTATTCCCTTGGTATATTGATAAATGAGTTCTAAATTACAAGAAAATGCATTTTCTACGGAAACTTGAAGAGAGGTAAAAAATGGTATAATACAATTTGAGAGACAATTAAATTGTGCATCTGATTATCATAAAATATATAGGGTGTTCCATTTAAATTAAACAAGTTATTGCCGTTTAAAGCTAATAATTATTTAAAATAAATATTTAGACAAACTTTATAAGGTCGTAAAACTTATATTATTGCAACACAATAACTGATCAATAAATAAACTTCAGTAAATATTTAGTATTAAAAACTTTGATACCCTCGGAGAAACGAAGCATTAAAATTTATACTGCAATTTCACAAAATTAAAAATATTTCAAAAACGGTAAGGTTTAAGTGTAATAGACCTTACTCAAATTTACCTTTACTTTAATCGTAGAAACTAAAAATATAATAATATATAGGGTGTTCCATTTAAAAAAATACAACTTTGATATTTTTTATTTATTTGGGACACTCTGTATCTTGTAAAAATATTTTTAAATTGTAGCTCTAATAGTCCTTCAACGAACCCAAAACTTATAATTTGTAAAAATCTAATCGTTTAGCTACAATATTCCGTGTCGTATGTGGTGAACAACCCTGAATATGAATAAGTGTTAGATTTGTCTAAACTGTACTCCTTTCTTAGTCTGATACTTGATATACAACATATACAGGGTGAGTCTTCAATAAGTATTTTTTTAGGGGTAGTATACTATATTTCAACACCAGAAACACGATTATGAGTTTTTTTTCGCGAAAAAAATTTAAAATTTAGAATTTTTTCTTTATGTAGTTAAAAACAAAATTTCTTGATAATATGACAACATAGGTAGTAGATTAAATTTACACGGAAGAAAATCCAGAAAAGATCCAATAGTTATTAAAATTTTAGCAAAAAATATACAGGTTGTTAATTTGTTTATCACTCGCGGCAAGAGCGTTATGGTTGAAATATGGCAACCTCGGCCCGGGACGAGTCGGCAGCTCTTAGCTTAGTACTAATTTGGAACGTGGGCATTTTAGTGTTGCCATTCTGTTCCCCAATAAGTAACCGTCCAGTTAACAATCTGTATATTTTTTTTTAATTTTCAAAGTAAAATAAATCGGTTATTTTGGATCTATTTGAAAAATGGTAAAGGTAAAATACAGGGTCGCTGATATAAGATACCGCAATATTATTTGTACGACCGACTCTGTATAATTAAATTTACTCGCCAATAGACGTTTAAAAACCCTATAGCTTTTAGAGGTATCTTGTGTATTTTACGTAATAATCGACCGTTCCCATACATCAGCTACCCTGTATCCTGTATATTTCTTTTATCGAGATCTACCAGGCCTAAACATAAACTTATTTACTCGCCCTGTATATGATTGATATTTTTTCACTCACAAGATTGGGTATTCTTCACTAAACGAGAAATCTGAAAAATAAAAATTATATTCTATATAAAATGTAACTGCAGAGTTTATTGCAGAACATGTTTGTATCCACTGCTTCTATGTTTAATGCAGGATTACACAGAGCAATTGAAATAGTTACCAAAAGTTTATTAGAGGATTTTGGTGGTGATGATGCAAAAATAAATTAACGAGAGAAACATTTTAGCCAGTTATATCAATTTGATTGGCGTCAATTTTTTAGCCTTTTCTTTCCAGAAAGAAAGGCTATGAAATTTGTGGCTTTTTCTTTCTACGTCTAGAATGTCTAGATTTGCAGTAGTGTGACGTTGATTATTCAGAGCATAATAATGGTATCCAAAAGATCCCAGTATAGCTGAATTAAAGAATTTAACAAAGTTCATTAAATCGGCGAGAATATTTACGAGAATATACGACCTTTCCATTAAGAAGTGCTTCGTGGGCACTTAGGTCAGCTAGTTCATTTCCAGAAATACTAGCTTGCGAAACTACTCGAAACAGAAGATCTTGAATTATAGATTCTAGATCACTGGTTCGATTCACGAGGTAATATTGTGAATACAATTAAATTATATGAAAGGTCTATGGAATGGATATGGAACTACTGAAGGAAGAGAGAATCAACCTCAAATGAGCCAAATGAAGCGAGATTTCGAAAGTAAGTATATTAAAGTCTCCTTTTTTGCCAGCAGTTCTGCATGAAGAATGGTATTGAAATTACGAGGTTTAAATCCTCTTTTATAATTACCACAGGGTAAGTCCGGTAGAGATGCCCTATTTCTTGGGGCTAATAATACATATTGGTGGTTAATTTTAAATGAAACTAATGATGCAATCCTAAACTATCTTTAGTAATAATGCATAATAGGACTAAGATGGTAATATAATAAGTAAGTATATATAATAGTAAGAGAACAACAAAAAAAAAGAAAATTGGCCATCTCTCCCTACGTTGCGGGAGAGATGGCCTTCTAACATGGGAGAAATGCCCCGCAAAAAAATACATATACATATTAGTTAAATATCTAAGGTTATTTTTTATTTTTTTTTAACTAATATCCAAAAGTTAGGATGGCCATATGCTTGCTTTTTCTGTGTTGTTGTTTGCCTCTCTACGTCTCAAAGTCCTTGCAGGGAGTCCAAAAGCATGCATTATGCTTTCATGCCCATTTGGTCGGTATTAATGGCTTGCAAAGCAGCACCCAATGATTTTTCAAACCACTGAGCGATTTTGGCACATTTTATTTTATATTCAGTAGGCATGATTAACAAAGTTACTTTTTAGTAAATAAATTAGTAGGGCATCTTTACCAGCATTCTATGTGGCATCTCTCCCAATACGATGGGAGAAATTATGATACTTCACGAAGCATGTATTTTAATATAAAATGGCATGAAATACCTAAAACTTACATAATATTACGTTATTCCCACGCGACCTCTGACAGTAAAAAAATATGTACTTATACAGGGTTGTTCACCACATACGACACGGAGTATTGTAGCTAAACGATTAGATTTTTGCAAGTTGTAAGTTTTGGGTGCATTGAAGGACTATTAGAACTACAATTTAAAAATATTTTTACAAGATACAGAGTGTCCCAAATAAATAAAAAATATAAAAGTTGTATTTTTTTAAATGGAACACCCTGTATATTATTACATTTTTAGTTTCTACGATTAAAATAAAGGTAAATTTGATTAAGGTTTACCGCACTTTAATCTTATCGTTTTTGAAATATTTTCAATTTTGTGAAATTGCAGTTAAAATTTTAATGCTTCATTTCTCCAAGGGTATCAAAGTTTTTAATACTAAATATTTCCTGAAGTTTATTTATTGATCAGGTATTGCAATAATAAAAATTATACTACCTTATACAGAGTGTCTAAAATTTTATTTTAAATAATTACTAGCTTTAAACGGCAATAACTTGTTTAATTTAAATGGAACACCCTGTATATTTTATGAGAATCAGATGCACAATTTAATTTTCTATCAAATTGTATTATACCATTTTTTACCAATCTCTTCAAGTTTCCGTAGAAAATGCATTTTCTTGTTATTTAAAACTCATTTATCAATATACCCATGGAAAACTGACATTTTAGATTATTTTTAAAGATGTACTGTGGATGTATCAAATTTAATATTGTCGATATAGTTTGTTTATTTCATTAAGTAATAAAAAAACTGTTTAA